TTATTTTTTTTTTTCATAGTAAACGTAGGTCGTATAACAGGTGTTATATGCCAAATAAGCTCAAATAAACTCACGCGATCTACTTGTTATTTGCCGAATTTCCATATCGGGATAAAGATTCCCAATAACGATAGATCAGACTAGACCTTCAGTTCTTTTAAATTTTATTACATTTAAACGTAGCATGACATTGTTAGATCTTTTGGTTCTGTTGAATAAATAGCACACGACATAACTAGGCCTTCGACTTTTTAAAACTCTATTAAACGTTGAAGCTATATTACTGGATTTTAAGATTCTTTGAAATTGTCTTGAACGTGATATGACAGTTTAGATTTTTTGATTTTATTGAACAGCATACAATATTCTTTTGAGATTCTGTTAAGCGGTGTATAATATTAATATCTTTGGTTCTTTTAAATTCTAATAGGTAAGAAACTATATAACTAGATCTTCGGGTTTTTTACAATTGTATTGAGTAGGTACGGTACTACTAGATTCCCGAATGGCATGTAAAATTTGGGCCTTTAAGATATGTTTTATAATTTAAGCATTCAAATTCTAATTCTATTATTTAATATAATTTGCACAGTACATATTATTCTAATAACTATTTGTTATTTATAGACTAATTGAAAGTTACAGAGTCGGCAGTAATATTGTAATAGTTATTAATAATTGTTGTTTTTCGTTTTTTCAACCTTCTAACACCACCTAACGTTGGATTTTTAATAGATGCGTTAGAATGTAAAGGTAAATTTGGTCGTGTGGTATCTTTAAAAGGTACACGAAAGGTATTTGGAGATGATGACTGTTGTAATACTGATGTTGATTCACAAGATGATACTGATGCCTGAGACGATTCCAATTCTTGAGATAATGCTGATTCTTGAGATGATAATGATTCTTGGGATGATACCGATTCTTGAGATAATGCTGATTCTTGTAATGATGCCGATTCTTGTGATGATAACAATGTTTCTTGAGATAAGTAGGGTTTTTTGGAATTTTTCTATAAATTGTTAATTATTAAGTAATTTTTTTTTTTGAATCACAGAATAGCAATTATTCAAGGACAATGTAATTATTAATAAGTAAATTTTTTTTTGTTAATAAGTAATTAAATAATAATAATTGTAATTATTATTTTTAACTTACTTTATTTGATGGTAAACTACCAGCGGTTCCAATAAGAAAAGCCAAAGCTTCTTCCTTTTGTTTATCCGAAGGTCTCGAATAAATCCTAAAAGAAGATTCGCTTTTATGGCCCGTGATTGCCATAGAGGTAATAAGTGGGACACCAGCTTGGTAAAGAGAGGTAATTGGAGTTGTACGGCCAGAGTGATTAACTATATCCCGACCTTGTATGTTAATACCTGCCGCATTGCAAATATTTTTCATCAGGCTACCACAGGTTTTGGTTCCGAGCTTTGAATCAAGATACCATTCATTTCGAATAATAGCTATAATTATGATTTATTTTTATTTTATTTTTTTTTATTTATTTTTTTTTTATGTATTTATTTTTTTTAAGTAGATATTTTAAATAAACGTTTTACCTTTAGAATGATTATTGATTTTCAAATGTAAAAATTCACAAGTATAGTTAGGAGGCCGACGATTAATATATAATTTTATATCATGAATTGGACCAAGTAATCCTTCAGGATCAGGTGGTACTGGAATGGTTAATGAATCCAAGTTACCATCGATCCCACCTTGATCATTCTTTTGAGAGAATTTTGTAAATTGTAAACCACCGTTTTGTGTAAAAACAAATTGTGCCACACGCATTTCACTATGTTCACCACCACGGGGAGCAAACAATAAACAGCACCACATAAATATGCGATATTGTAAGCCTTGTGGGTGGGATATAGATGTTGCTTCATGTGCAAATATTGCTTGAATTTCAGCATTAGTTAACGGATCATGATGTCGTGCAACTTTTCCTATTTTTTTAAGTTGTTTCATTTTGCCATCTAACGTTTTCCATAAATCTCTAAATTCTTGTTTACTTGCCAAATTATATTTATTGACATTTAAAGAATGATTTAAAAGATACATCGCAAGACAATTAATAGCATTGCGTAATGATGAAGGTGCATATTCCTCTCCACTTTTTAATTGTCGTACGCCACACACAAACTCTATCATCTCTTGTTCAAGCTGTTGCTTATTTTGAATAGTTTCAATTTGATACTCATAACCAACATTCTCACGCCAGTTATTTAATATTCGAATCCAATTATCAATCGTTTTTCTTGTATTTACTGGAACTGTGGAATTTTTTATATGTTGTATCTCTTCTCTTGAAGGTTTAAAGCTTTTAACATTAGCTTTAGGTGTCTTTTGCTATAAAATAAACAATGATAAGTAATAGTTTTTTTTTTTCTTCTAATTACTTTATTATTTAAAATTCTTACTTTGGTCATTTTTTTTTAAAGCAGTACAAAGTAAGCGATACAGTGATTTCAGATATAGCAGTACAAGGTGAGCGATATATATAGTGAGACAATGAGCGATACCAGATATAGTGGTACAGAGAAAGTAATAACAGATATATAGCGGTACAAGGTAAGTGGTATAAAGGTAAAGATACAAATTTTTTTTTTAAAAAAAAAATTTATTTATATAGATCTATAAAGAATTACGTCATTAGTAAGTTAACTCTAATTGCTATCATTAATTTAACTAACTTTTGCTTATATTTCTATTAACTTACCCGAACTTTAATGCAAACATAATTTAATTTAAGTATTAATTATTTATTTTATTTAAATAAAGGTTCTACTAATTCAGAAAATTCTCATTAATATCCGTGACAATAACTTATTAATTTAAATTCTTCTTACCTACCATTAATACTACAATAAATTCAAAGCAGACCTTTCGTTTACATCGTTAAAGAAAAAAAAAAATAAATCCGTTATTGGATGCTACGCACCAATAACAATCGCATCTGGCAGCGAATTTTTATGCATTCGCACCTGGGCCCCTTCGGGGCCCAGGTGCTCACGCATAAAAATTCGCTGCCAGATGCTTTTTTTTATTTGTCATCCAAAATGATCATCCCGTGATCCTGCGGATCACGGTATTCTCATTTCTCCTGCCAAATAAAACTGTTATTGGATGCTTCGCATCCAATAACTATATA